CCAGACGGCACCTTTGATCTTTTGGAATGGTGGAAGGCAAGGGAAAAATATTTTCCGGTTCTTGCAAGGATGGCTCGGGATATTTTATCTATTCAAGCTTCAACAGTTGCATCAGAGAGCGCTTTCAGTCAAGCAAGACTTCAAATAGGTGATTATAGAGCGTCTATGGGGGATAGCTTGGAAAAATCAGTACTATTCAGAGATTGGATCCGCTCGGAAAGAAGAAACTTTGGACTTGCAGAATCACAACCGGAGATAGACGAAGCTTATGAAGGAATGATAGCGGAACTTGCGGAGGATGCTGCTTTGCCCGGAAGCGGTGATGAACAAGCTTCATTTCCGCCACCACCAACGGAACCTCCTCCGAACCTTGAAGGATTTATGAGATTTGTTAGAGATACAATGTAGATTATGGTGTAACTTGTACTTTGGCATATCTTCTTTAGTTTTTTTTCCTTTTAATGGTGGTATTAGTACCTTGTTGTGCTCATTCCATTGGGGGGAAGAAGACTAAAAAAGATATGCCATTTTTGGTAATAAAAATTATAAGACATGCCCTTGAATATCTCTTTGCAATATTTTTTTGTCTTTAACTTGCAATTATTTATAAGCTATAATATATATACATAACATACAATATATACGATAAGAAAATATATAAGGGAATATATATACATAACATACAATATATACTACAAGAAAATATATAAGGGAATATATATACATAACATACAATATATACTACAACAAATTATATAAGGGAATATATATACATAACATACAATATATAGTATACTATACTAGTATACTATATATATATTATATATACATGAAGAAGTAGTACTATATATACTACAAAACAAGATTTTTCAAAATGAGGGCCCCACCCCCAACGACCACCAACGGTCATGTTAATTGCACAAATAGCCATTTTTTTTCCAATTTACAAAACTAACCTTCTCTAACACTATAAGTACCCCCCTTCCTCTTCTTCATTTCAATACTCAATACTCATTTCTCAATCTAAATTTCTCTCAATCTCTCAATCTCCAATTTTCAAGACTTCAAGTCTCAATCTCAATTTTCAAGTTAAATCATGCCTCGTTCGGAAAGAGTGCATTTATTTGTTTCGCAATACTATGAAGTGCTTGAAGAAAATGAAGAAGGCCAAATATTAAAGTGCAAGAACTGTGAAAGAGTCTTAAATTTTCGTTCAGGGTGTACCACAGGCATTTTAAGGAGGCATATAAAGTATTGTGTTGAGGGTATTTATCCGCAAATTCGTCTTTAAGATTTTTCAACAATTTGTGTTATTTTAAAATTATTAGACGTATTTATGCTTCATGTTGTACTTTGTTATTAATTTATTATGCATGCCAATTTAGTTTTACTATTGATTTGTTATTTTACATTTTCGTCAAACACTTTAATAATTAGATTTCTATATTATATATACCACATATATTTATATAGCAATGCATAAGAGCAATTTATATATATACATACACATATGGTTTACAAGAAATTGCCCTAAATAAAAAAATTAAAAAAAAAAAAAGCCCGGAAATAAAAAAAGCCCGTTAGGCCCGCTAAGCCCACGAGCCCGACCCATTTAGCCCAGGACCATATGGGCTTAGGCCCGTCACGGGCTGGTCCTACCCGTTGAGCCCACGAAGCCCGGGACCGCTAAGCACATGCCCGTTTAGCCCGACCCATTTAGCCCATTTAGGCCCGGGTCCGGCCCACCATACAGCCTTAAGCCAGAATATAAAAAAACAAATTAAAAAATATATATAAATAAAATAAGAAAACATCGTGCGATACACTTTTCCTACTAGAATGCCGGTCTCTCTCAATCTCTCTGTATCAAAAGAATGGCGAGGTGAGAGAGAACTTAATTTTCTAATCTGAATTAGATACTTCTCATTTTAGAGAAAAAAAAAATCATATATTTTGAAATTAGAAATTGTATAAATAAGAAGTGTTTGACTATTTAAATAGTTGTAACGGCATAAAACGAATTAGAACATAGAATGTAATTACGAATAACAAATGTTTCCAAGTACAAATATTGTCCAACTAAAGTACATAAAAGTAACACATTAAATAAAATTAGATGATTAGGTAAATTTAATATTTGCTTTATAACAATTAACTAGATACCCCAGAAGATATTTAAATACTTCGAATTTATCTTTTATAAAGTTCGTTTTTCCAGATTTTATTCACCTAAGAAATTAAAAATCTTTTATAAGATTAGATTCTGGAATCTGATGTGACTTGCAATATTTGATGCTATAATTAACTACCATAGTTATAATAATACTTAAATCGACTAGATTTTGTGCACATGATACATTATTGCAGTAACATAAATTTCTGAATAAGTACTTTCTTTATCCATTCTTATCTCACTTTTCATTTTGACCAATTTTGAAACTAAATCGAATTGGATAATTAGATATTAAGAAATTAATAAGTACTCCCCCTGTTCACTTTTACTTGGCATGTATACTAAAATAGATTTTTATTTTTACTTGTCACTCTATCGCATATCAAGAGAAGACAAAATTTTTTTTCCTGTTATACCCACAATATTTATTACTCATTTCGAATTATTTTCTCAAATCCAATAAAATATGCATCAATTAATATGGGTATCGTGGTAAATTATTTACTTCATTTATTATTTCTTAAGGGGCGTGAAAAGTCAAAACGTGCAAATTAAAAGTGAACGGAGGGATTATTACTCTCTTCGATCCACAATAAGTAACCAATTTACTTTTGACATACCCATTAAGGAAATACCAAATTCTAGACGAAAATAGTTAGTGTGACTAAACTACCTTTCATTAAATGTTGCACCATAGTTATAGTAGTATTTACTTCTCTTCTCAAATGTGAGAAGTAAATGACTTTTTAGGGATTAGTACATAAGGGTAATTTTGGAAAATACAAATTAAATTTTTTCTTGATTATATAAGTGGATACTTATTTTGGACCAAAATAAAAAAGCAAATTAATCACTTATTGTGCACCGGAGGGAGTAGAGTGTAATTTTTTTTCATTAATTTGAATCTCGAGAATTGAAATACTAGAATTGTGAGTAGTAATATTTAAGTGGCATTTAATATAAAACATAGTAAATTGAAATTCAAATTCCAATATATATGTACATATTAATGTATGCACTTATTTGTGCTCCACATATGGATATACATGTTTATATTTCATATGTTCTAATAATATTATTTCTACCTAAAAAAGTATTTCCTTCGTCTCAAATTATCTGTCGTAATTTTTAAATTAGTTATCTTAAATTATTTATTATTTTACAAGTTCAAGACAAAATGAACTATATATTTCTCATTTTACCTTTAATAGTAATTATTTTTTAAGATGAAGATAGCACATAAATAGAGTAAATATTCAATGAACAGAGATATATCTTAAGACATAAATAAGAGTAAAATAGTCTAAAATCCCTCTTAATTAATATTTTTTAACAAACGTGTAAAATAAAAACACGATAAATAATTTGTGACGGAAGGAGTTAGAATCAAAATGGGATGCAATAATTTTGATGGACAAATCGAAGACTTTCGACAAATTTCCATTTTCAGTTGGACAAAATAGATTCCTATGGCTAGTGACAAGAAGTTTTATTAAGCGTCTCACACAACTCATATTAGTTGTGTGAGGCTCTTTTTTGTCTCATAAATTTGTGGACCCCAATCTTATACTTTTGGGTCCACAAAAAAAAGATGCCCCATACAACTAGTGTCAGTTGTATGAGACACAGAATAAAATTTTCCGCTAGTGACAGTTGTAAACCTCAACTACTACGTCTAAGTTCTAATGGGAACTTACTTTGTTATTGCAGTCTTCCTCCCTTTATTATTTTCCCACCTAGTTTCTAGTTGTAATTACAGTGGACTAGTAAATAGAAAAGACAAATTTAAATTACTAATGATGAGTCCCAATTTAAAATACCACGAGTTTAATAATGCAACATATACAGTAGATATATTAAGTAGGCGTTTGGACATGAATTCTAATTTTTTTTTCAAATTTATTAGAATTTTACTAAAATTTGAATTGAAGATGAAGTTGTGTTTGGTTATAATTTTTGCAATATATTTAGATGTCTTTTTTTTTTTTAAAATCATGAAACATGATTTATACCCCATAACTTGTAAAAATATCAAAGCCACCCCAATTTGATTATCCTACTTGAAATAAACAATCAAAATGCTATTGTTTAACTTGTTATCATATTCTGCTTTACATACACAGAAGATGCAAAATCAACTGGGACTGATGTTCCACCATCAGTCGCCAAAGATGCATCTACCAAAGATGAAAAACTGATGGAGTCATTTTATAAATTTTAAAAATATAGGGTAAATTGGTAAAACTAAAAACTAGCAAATTCTCATTTTCAATTGAAAAGGTGGTTAGAAACAATTTTTCAAATTTGAAAATGAATTTTCAAGTGAAAAAGAAAAATTGGTAAGAATGAGATAACCAAACATTATTTAAAAAAAAAAATTGAAAAAAGGAAAAATTGTGTATCTCCAAACGGGCACTAAGCAAAAGTTATTCAAGCAACTTGTACCTGGAAATTTATAAAGTTAAAGAGCATTAAATGGAATTTACTTTATTAATTCTATCAATTCCTAATTTTCCTTTTCATTTTTAAATCCAAAAAAAAATCTTAAATCCTAAAATCACTCATAAATTCCCAAGATGCCTAACGTAATAATATCTGAAACCCAAGAAGGTTCGATGTACCTTTGTACCTAAAAATTTGTTATTATAGTTTAGCCTTATCCTAAAAACATGGAAAATATATCTGGTTAGATTTCATTGGAAACTGTTAATCTTAAAAAGATAAGATTTTATTATGTTTATACCTTTTAAGTAATCTTGAAATTAGCAATGGATATTCTTAATCCAATCCATAAACATGAAAAATAAAAAAGAGGAACAATAGTGTGGGACAAACACTCTTGAAATCCTAGTAGAAATAGAGACGTTGTTATTCCTTAGGTGTTTTTACATTGCCGGCCTCTCTCTCTCTCTCTAAAAGACAGAGTGGTTCCACATAACTCAAAAACAATTCTTCTTTCTTTCATATCTCTCTCTTTTCATGTTCTGATTCCAAACTAACTCTCAAAATTCTTTAAAATCTCCCATTTTTAGGCCCAAAACTTTCGAAGATATAATCTTTTTTGTATTTTTTGGGGACCCTTTTGAGTATTTGTTTGTTTTGTGTTGGAATTGTGTGAATTCAAAGGGGAAAAAAAAGAGATGGTTGTGAAGATGATGAAGTGGAGGCCATGGCCACCATTATCGTCAAAGAAATTTGAGGCCAAGATCACAGTTAACTGTCTTAAAGGTCTAAACTTTTCACCTGATTTTCAAAGATTGGCTGTTGAAATAAAATGGAAAGGTTCAAAGGGTAATAATTCTTTGAGTTTGAGTTCTCTAAAGAGGAAAAGTGTAAAGAAGAATTTTACAAAGGAAGAGTCTTTGAAAGATGATGATGGTGTTGTTCATTGGAATGAGGAGTTTCAGAGCCTATGCAATTTTTCTCTATCCAAAGAGACTGAATTTCATCCTTGGGAGGTTTCTTTTAGTGTGTTTAATGTGAGTTACTGCTTGCTTTTACCTCTATTTTTTTTTTGATTATTAATGATTTTGTTGGTTGTTTTTCTTTTATTCTTTGCCTTTGTTCTATGATGGGCTGTTTGGTTTTTTTATTAGAGCAAAAAGAAAAAGATTAAAAAATTAATCTCGGAATGTTTTATGAGATAAGAACTCAATTTCTTAATCCAATTCATGGGAATTTGAGAACTACTGCTGATACTGAGAATTCTGTTTCATTGGCAAATTATTGAGAATTGATCAAAGGCCTTAACTATCTGATGTGGAAGTTTGACTTTTTTCTTGACTATGAATTTGGGGTCTTTCTTGTCTTAAGTGTGTAAGGTATTAGAAGGAATTAAGCTTTCTTGACCATTGTCCTTTAAATTGTGGTTTCATGAATTTTGATCATATCATGTATTTTGCTGGAACTAGCAGACGTAGAATCTTGATTTGTCTGACTGAGCCGAGTGTCTATCGGAAATAGCCTCTCTACATTCAGAAGGTAGGGTTAAGGTCTGCGTACACATTACCCTCCCTAGACCCTACTTGTGGGATTACACAGGGTTTGTTGTTGTTGTATTTGTCTGAATGAGTAATTTCCTGAATTTCCTTAAATTAGTAAGTATATATTAAGGGTATTGTGTTAGCCTCTTCAATAATATGCTATCAAGAGATCAGTGATGAAATTCAGCAGCAAACTGTTTTTTCTTTTATTTTGATTACAAACATAGCAGTAAACTAAGTCAATAAATTGTGAATTTCCCCTTGATGCTCTTCCTTTAACATTACAGTAACCGACGATGCTTTTCTATCTGAAAAGTTAATTTTCTTTAACCATGAATATCCTGAGATTTAGCTCAAATAATGAAGTTACTATTTTGACATGCCCTGAGAGTCAAAAGGCTAATTAAGCTTTATGGGATTTAATGATTACCTTTTGATGGACCTACCTTAATAGCTTGTGGTGTGTTTCATTAGTGATGTAACAGAGATGGTGAGACCTACTATTTTCCATTCATATCAGTATTAACTTTTCTACATTTGTGGCTGTACATTTTGGAAATATATAATACTGGCATATTCTGTATATTTCTTTACTATTTGGAAAATGTTTAATGAGGTCTTTGGAGAATATGCCTTTCTTTAGTTGCTTTGTTTGGCATCTTTTTCTTTCTAATTAAGAAGGAAGTTGGATTCAACCCAAAAAAGCTGGCAACAAAAGAGAAAGAAGGAAGAATAGTAGGTCTCTTGGGTATATGCTTATTCTTCTTAGGAGGATCACATTGTTTAGCTGCTTGTTCCTTTCCACGCTTTGGGGGTCTATGTTGTTATTCTTAAACGTGTCATTTGCTCCTCATTTCGTTGTATCAACTCCGTAGTTGTGATTCTATCTGTAAGTTGCTTGACAGTACATATTCATGCTTTTTTATAAATCAGGTTACAAATAGAAGAACAAACCATAAAGTCCCCATAGTTGCTGCGGCGTCATTGAACATTGCAGAATTTGCTTCAGCAGCTAGGGAGAAAGAAGAAGAAATTGAAATAGTCATTCCCTTGGAAGCTTATAGTGGCAGCAGTAAGAGCAACCTCTCACTTTGTGTAAGCAAAACAATTTTGCTTGAACTTTATTTGTTTTTTTACATCAATCAATTTTTTTGGATAACATGATTGATATGCATGACAGTTGTCTCTCAATCTTGTTGAATTGAGTAATGCTCATGAAGCCTCAGAAACATTGCCAAAGTTTGTCATGTCTGCTCCAGTATCTCCTTCCCCTGCAGAGGTTTTGTCGACAGACAGAAATGAGATTTCTGCTTTGAAAGCAGGTCTGCAGAAAGTTAAACTTTTCAAGGGATTATCTACTATGCGGCGAAAGAAGGTGTTGCATGAAGAGGAGGGCAGTGATGGAAGGAACTCGGTTAAAAGTGATGACACTGATCTCACTTACCCAGTTGACACAGATTCATTTGGTGATTCAGAAGAAGCTGAATCGGAGGAAGTAAAAGAGGATACGACACTGCAGAAGTCTTTCAGTTATGGAACACTTGCATATGCAAACCATGCCGGTGGATCATATTACTCAAACACAAGTGGCAGTGAAGATGAGGATTTGGTCTACTATAGCCATCACAAATCTGATGCAGGGCATGCGTACACTGAGGATGCAACTGGAGCAAGACCTAATCAATTATCACAGCAGAGTTCAAAACACAGAATTCTCCCTTGGAAGAAGAGAAAGTTAAGCTTCAGATCTCCGAAAACCAAGGGGGAGCCGTTGTTGAAGAAATATTATGGAGAGGAAGGTGGGGATGATATAGATTTTGATCGCCGACAACTTAGTTCCTCTGATGAGTCTTCTTCAGGGGTATGTGTCCATCTTCTCTTGCTATCATTTTTATCATTAGATCTTTCCAGTATCCGAATGAATTTGTTTAGTGGAATACTATTCTTAACTATTTAGTGTACATCATAGTTCTTGTCCCAAAACCATTTTCCTTCTTTTGACGAAGTTTTTATCTCTTTTAACAATACCTCCCCAATTCTTGCAGTGGAGTAAATCTGAAGAAGGTTCAACTGCAAATAGATTTGCAGTCTCCGAGTTTGGAGATGACAGTTTTGCTGTTGGTAGTTGGGAGCAAAAAGAGATAGTAAGCCGTGATGGGCAGATGAAGCTGCAGACTGGCGTCTTCTTTGCTTCAATTGATCAACGAAATGAACGAGCTGCGGGTGAAAGTGCTTGCACAGCCTTGGTTGCGGTCATTGCCGATTGGTTTCATTCCAATCCGGAAGAAATGCCGATCAAGTCCCAACTTGACAGTCTTATCCGTGAAGGTTCACTAGAGTGGAGGAATCTCTGTGAAAACGAGACGTACAGGGAGCGTTTCCCGGATAAGCATTTTGATCTCGAAACAGTGGTCCAGGCTAAAGTACGCCCGCTCTCAGTAGTCCCAGAAAAGTCGTTCATCGGTTTCTTTCTTCCGGAAGGAATTGAAGACGAGGGATTCGGTTTTCTCAAAGGTGCCATGTCCTTTGACAACATCTGGGATGAGATTTCTAAATCTGTTCAAGACAATGCTAGTCATGGCGAGTCCTTCGTTTACATTGTGAGTTGGAATGACCACTTCTTCATCCTCAAGGTCGAACAAGATGCATACTATATCATCGACACTTTGGGCGAGAGGCTTTATGAGGGCTGCAACCAGGCTTTCATCCTCAAATTTGACAGAGATACTAGAATTTTGCAGATACCTAGCGCGAGTCAACAATCAGATGATAAACCGGCCAGCAGTAAAAAGGAGCAACCTGATATGAAGGAGGCTACTACTAATGAAGGAAAAATCATAGTCACCACAAATAACCCCAATGAGAAGACCGGAGAATCAGCCATCATCTGTAGCGACAAAGCACCTGAAAACGAGGAGTCCACCATTGTTTGTAAAGGTAAAGAGGCGTGTAAAGAGTACATTAAGAGTTTTTTGGCGGCAATCCCCATTAGGGAATTAGAAGTTGATGTGAAAAAGGGGTTGATGGCATCTACACCCCTTCATCAGAGGCTGCAAATTGAGTTCCATTATACAAAGAGCTTTAACACCGAGTTGGAATCACGTCCAGAAGAACTGACTGCTAACAGCTTGGCGTTACCATCGTCAGAGGCAGAGTAAGCGCTGATTAGTAAATTTGAGTATATATACTTAACATCGCTAATCCTTCTTTTTGTGTTTCTACATCTAATTTAGGAATGAAGGGCATGTCTAATATCCTTTGTTTCATACATGATTGCAAGTGGCTCAGTGGCTCTTCTTATTAATGCTTTCGGGTGACAATGTAAATGACTATGGAAATGTCACCATGAGTATAATACTCTTTCTCTCAAAGAGGGGAGGGCATAAATAAATATATGGTCTCTTTACTGCTCTTAACTTTTCATTTGTCTATTAATTCCTTGATGCTGCTCTGGACTAGTATGGATTGTCTAGCATACAGAACTGGCAGCAATCATTTAAAATGAAATCATTCTAGGGTGCATAGAAGTTAGAACATTTTGTTGTGGCGTATAATCTAGGCTGGAGGTGGACTATGAAATACCACAAGTCCAAATGCAACAATGTGACCCTATCCTATCTCAGTTCGAGTTTATTTCTCTTAAAAAGTAAAGACACCTTACGTTCTTGAAATGATAACCATCTCTTTGCTAACCTAGCCACCTCCGTTCCTCGTATGGGAATATTCACCTGTTGCCCGTCCAACTATGAAGATATAATAAGGGGAGGAAATGTATGATTAGGTTCCATGTGTACTTGGTGGAATCTGACATATCGTCTATCGGAAACATTCGCTCTACCTTTACAAGGTAGGAGTAAAGGCTAATGATGTAATGGTTGAGATTCCTTTTCCCAGAGTATCTTTTGGTCAAAAACGCTTTATCACTTTAGGTGAAGGTATTCAGATTAGTTGGGCCAAGTCATACATTTGGATACTGATAATGAAGGGCAATTTTCACAACTACACAAGTTGAAGAAAACATTATAAATTTTTAGCAGCAAAACCAAAATAACAGGCGATGGCAAATTCTATAGTAGAAAACTTATAATCTCGATCCCATTAAAATAGTAATGCTAATTAATAATCCACTACGTTCCATCCATTTTTTTGCTTATAAATGACAATAACTTCCATGGTATTTTAAGCATTTCCAGTTTCTACGTGTACGACGCACTGTTGAACCTTAAGGTGTCACTTCTGCAAGTTAATTGTCTTTCCTCCTGTTTTCAAAGATGTTTCAGTTAAAATTTCGAGAATAATAGTGTATGATTAGTTTACGACAATTATTACTTTAGGATATGCCACCTCTCTCTATACTTTGTCTTTTAATTTTATATTTCATTTTGCCGTATATTGTTGAATACGTGATCAATAGTAATGGTGTATATGACTATGTTATATATGTGTATATATCAGGAATGGGTATTCTAATTTCTTGCAATATTTTTGTTTAATACGTGATGAGTACTAATCGTATATATAAGGTATATTAATTTATATGTTTATCGAACAAAAAACGCCCTAACTCATTCCACCACGAAGAACCTTCATCCAAAATACCTCTCAACCATACCTACAATACACTTATTAGAGGTCGTTTATGGGCTGGGATTAGCTATTTCACTTTTTATATAGGATAGTTAATTTCACCATTTTGGTATAAATTTATACTAGTATTAGCGAAAATACCTATAACTAAACCTAGGATAAATACAATTTCAAATTTTATCCTTAAATTAGTATCCTCGTCCTGATAACCAAACGGCCCTCATTCTATACCATAAAAACTGGATCCATGAGATTTACATTGTAATAATACAAAGAACTAGTGTCTAAGTATAGAATCTTCAGATATCATAAAAAGGAGTTCTATATCATTTTTTTCCCTTTGTAGTAAAGAGAAATAAAAAAGATTATTTATCCATCTGTAACGACCCGCCGGTAGTTTTGATCCCTAGCGCGTTGTTCAGCAGTTTGAGGCCCTGAGCAGCTTTGTATTGGGAAAAAAGTTGAATTTATATTGAAGATGACGTGGCGTGACACGTGGACTGGACAAGTGGTCAAAGCGTAACAATTGGGAAAAAGGTACGGGAAACGACAGGTACGGGAAGAAGAAGTGAAATAGGCACGAGAAGCAGTTTAGACACGAGTCTCGTACCAATTCGAAGTCATTTAAGGCCAGTGGGTAGAAAGGCATTGAAGACATGAATCTGAAGACAAAAAGGAGTCCAAATTCAGTATTAAATACCTGATACGTTAGAAAATTGGTATTTAATAGGAATGATTGTGTAACGGCTCATTTAATGTCATTTATTGTCCATAATTGTCTCATTAAAGCTTAGGTTTTATTCCTTTACCTAGAATCAACTATAAAAGGAGGAAGTTGTATTGGGAAAAGGACATCATTTACATCATACTGAATAAAAAAATTTTGTTTACTGCTTTATTATTATTCTCAGAAAGCCTATTATTATTTTGGTCTCTTGATTATCAGTAACCCGATTTTTCATCTCAAATTCTAGTTTTATCCAAAATATTATTTCTTTGGTGAAACAAATTGGTTCCGTTACCGGGAATCTGATAATCTATTCTTTTTAAGTTACAGTCTATCTGTTGTTATCATCATGTCACATGACAATAATAACAGTGAAAACACCTTGGGAAACCGTGAAAATCAAATGCATCAAGATCAAGGAGATTTGCAGAACTTTAACGCGGTTCCTGCCCTTCAAAATTCACCACGTCAATCTCGTGAAGGCACTCCTAAATCACATGCTGATGAGCAAGAGCAATCAGAACATTTTGAGGGACCAGAAGAAGCTCTGCAAAGAATAATTGATGCACGGGTTAACCAAGCTCTTCAAGCGCTAGTTAGCCGGTTACCTGCTGCGCCGTCCACACCTTCGCCAAATAACAATACGCTGGAGAATCCTCGTTCTGGCCTTGTTAATTCAAACGAAGGAACCCCCATTGAACCACGAGAAATGAATCCAGGTAATACAAACAATTCTTATTTACAAAATTTGGTACTAACTTTGCAGACACAGCTCAAAGAACAAAACGAACGCATCGAGCAAATCCCTGGAGTTCCCCCAATAATCAAAGGAATAGATGCGGATAAATATTCACAACAACCTTGGAAACCGAGTGCTGCTCCCCTTTCAATCCCTAAAAAGTTCAAAATGCCTGACATTTCAAAATATGACGGCACAACCGATCCACATGACCATGTGACGGCATTTACTACAGGGGTCAAAGGAAATGATTTAACCAAGCAGGAGATTGAGTCCGTGTTGGTCAAGAAATTTGGTGAAACACTCACCAAGGGTGCACTAACCTGGTATTCTCTTTTGCCTGAAAACTCTATAAATTCTTTTGCTGAGCTTGCAGATTCTTTCATTAAGGCGCACTCAGGAGCACAAAAGGTTGAAAAAAGAATGGAGGACATCTTTAAAATCAAACAAGGGGATACAGAGTTGCTCAGAGATTTTGTTGATAGGTTCCAACGCGAACGAATGACTTTACCCCGCGTACCAGATAATTGGGCTGCAATAGCTTTTGCGAGCAATCTAAATGTTAAAAGTTCTGAAGCCACGAGAAGACTTAAAGAAAGCCTTCGAGAGTTCCCTGCAACCACGTGGAATGATGTGTATAACAGGTACAGTACGAAGTTGCGAATCGAAGAAGATACCGTGCCTCGATTTCAACATGAAGATAGAAGCAGTTCAAGGAGATCCGAAGCTAAAAAAAGATTAGGTAAAAACAGGTACGATCCTTATATGGGTCCTGCAGGAAAAGATTCACGAATAAAACAGGATAATCAACGATATGATCAAAAATCAAGAAACAGGGAGTCAGGCTCCTCATCGAGGTTTGCGAATGTTCGAAACAAACGCGGGGCACGAGATGATGATGGAAGTTTGAAGGCGAGATTTGGTGGATATAATTTCAATGTCACTACCTCCGAGCTCGTAGCTATTTTAAGGAGCATGGGAGATAAGGTACGATGGCCGAAGGAGATGCGATCAAATCCAAACAAGCGCAATCCAGATCATTGGTGCGAATTTCATAATGATCATGGGCATAAAACTTCAGAATGTAGATTCTTACAAAGTGAAGTGGACCATCTATTGAAACAAGGTTATCTCACTGAGTTGTTTAGCGAGAAAGGAAAGCAGGCCTACGATGAAAAACAGGCAAGAGCCGCCAAAGCCCCCATCACCCAGAGACCGTAAATGTTACAATGGGGGAGAAGATATTTATGGAGTAACAGTACACAGCTTCAAATAAACGTCTCCAAAAGTCACAATCACGCACGGGAAACGAGTGCGTCAAACCTTAGAGGATGAAAGTATCACTTTTGATGATGCAGACACAGAAGGAGTGATCACCCCCCACAACGACGCGCTGGTAATATCTTTACTTGTACATGATACTAATATAAAAAGAGTTTTGATTGATCCAGGAAGTTCTGCAAACATCATCCTATTAAGGGTACTACGTGAAATGCAAGCGGAGGATAAGATGATTCCAAAGGCGCATATTCTAACATGATTCGATAATTCCAGTGTTGTAACTAAAGGAGAGGTAATTCTAACAACTTTTGCAGAGGGTGTTGTGAAAGATACCAAATTTCAGGTAGTAGATATGGAGATGGCATATAATGTAATCATGGGGAGACCGTGGATTCATGATATGAACGCTGTCCCATCAACTCTACATCATGTAATGAAATTCCCATCACCTTGGGGAATCTGTCAAATTCGAGGGGAACAACATACAGCTAGGAGTATTAATATGGTAACAGATACAAGTGCTGTAAATAAAGTTGAAGAAAACATAGACCAAACCACAACGGCACGAGGAAAGACAGATATAGACCTGAGACCTGATATGATTCAAGAGCCTGAAGAGAATGAAAACATCAAAACAANTCACCATGGGGAATTTGTCAAATTCGAGGGGAACAACATATAGCTAGGAGTATTAATATGGTATCAGATACGAGTGTTGTAAATAAAGTTGAAGAAGACATAGACCAAACCACAACGGAACGAGGAAAGACAGATATAGACTTGAGACCTGATATGATTCAAGAGCCTGAAGAGAATGAAAACATCAAAACAACAATTGAGGAGCTCGAGCCTGTGATACTATTTGAACAATGGCCTGAACGAAAGGTTTATGTGGGAGCCAACTTAAGCTCAGATACGCGAGGTATGTTAATTGAATTCTTAAAAGCTAACGTGGATTGTTTTGCTTGGTCCCATGCTGATATGACAGGAATACCACCGGATGTAATGACTCACAAACTAAATGAAGACCCATCTTGCATACCCGTAAAACAAAAGAAAAAAAAGCAAGGAGCTTTCAAAAACCAGGTGATTCAAGA